CATTACCCAAAAGTGTGCCAGACTTCGTAAGGAAGAATACAAGTTTTTATGTTAGATTCATCTAGACTAGTCTCTTACAGATTATTATTAGTTTAATTATTTTTATTTAATTGTTTTTAGTTAATTGTTTTCATTTTAAATGTAAAGGTTAAGTAATTTTGTTGCTTTGTTTTTCAATAAATATTCCAGTTTAATTTTTAAGTTTAAGTTAAAATAAATGTTTAAAAATACTATTTTCTTTTGCATTGTTCACAGCTCTAGTAAAGTTCTAAAATATAGAATTAACTTGTCTGTACTTTCATGCAACAGTATGATGCATATTCAAATTGTCCTGAGGTTCAAGTAGAAATTAATTTGATTCATAGGAGCCTCATTTGAAATTCTGGTGTACTTTTTCAGCAATATTAAATAGATGGGTTGTCTGAACAACAAACAAAGCAAATCAAAATCCAAGTCTTACTGGCTCAGCATATTGTACAGTACTCACCCATTTGTTATTCCAAACCTGTAGACTTCTTTCTTCCATGTAACTATAAAGAAGAAATGTTAAGGTTATTCGAATAATATTGAAAATCAAATTGGGATTTGGGCTGTCATAATTCAGAAATGACAAAAAGCCTCATTAAAACGAGCCTAAAATAGCAACACACAGTACGCCATGTACTTCAGGTCTTCTGGTCTTTAGCAACAGTTTCGGCTGAAATCCTTCACTTACTTTCTCATTTTTGGGTGAAATGTCTCCCGAAGGAAGTCCTCTATAAATAGACTGGTTGACTGCTGCATAAACTGGATTCATTTGCAAGAAATAGATGGACGACAAACGCTAGTCAAACATTCTGCATATCAAGACTGATCTTTCCACCCTGGACAGGTTTGGAAACAAAATGTTTATTTAATTTGTAACATTTAATTTTCTTTCAAAAATAATAATACAAAATATTAGGTCCCGAGAGGCCCTAAAAGCTCACGAATGAACACACAGAGCCAAGCATTAGGGAGTTTAATTCTCCAACGTTCAGCAGGGGGTGGGGGGACTGGAGAACCATGTGGACATGAAGTTCAATTTGGGCTCGACCACAGGAAGCACCAGCCAAAACTCTGTAAGTGCAAATTCAAACAGATGGAGAGCTTGAATACCAGGGACAGTAATGCTGTTCCTCCAATTGACGTCACATATATGCCAACAAACACTCACACACATACTCGCACACACAGAAAACACAAGTCATTCCTGAGCTCATGTACAGTACAGTATGCAGAAACACTGAACAATGCACAATCAAGCAATGCATAAAGAGAGTAACAGTATGTGTCTAAAGGGCCTTGAAATTTGAATGTTGCTTATTGATAAACTGTGATTATGTCTTGTTTAAATATGATTAGAATCTTCTATACACTAAAATCTATACATTCACATCATCTTAGAAACATTCATTACCTTTTAGGCTCATATTTTCCATATCAAAAACTACAGACAGACGTATTGATAAAATGCAGTGCAATTCATACAGTGCGCTGTGTTAAGCATATACAACATTGCATATACAATGCAGAATATAAACAGAAACTAGATGAACAAAATATTTTTTAAAAAGGTACAGGCAGGTTTGTTAAAAATGTTAAACTAAAAAGCAGCTTTTAAAAAATGTGACACATTAATAACTATTTTAAGCTTGCCAAACTTTGCCTCATATTGTATATTTATTAGTGAACTCTGCCTTAAAAGTGTCAAGTACTTTACTTAAAAAGTGAGTGAACCCATTGTAACTTGGAACTGTTAAGTTGATTTTACTTATTTTTTTAATTATGCATGGTTCATTTACTTGAAATGAACTATGAAACTAGATAATACTTGATAATGAACTAGAAAGTACTTTAAGTCAATGGGTTTACTCAATTTTTTAAGTGGTCAACAAACTATTTTAAAGGGCACCTATGATGAAAATCAACTTTTGTTAGCTGTTTAGACAGAACTGTCTGTATGTATAGCGTATCCAATGTCATATTGGAGCGATAGAAACCCAACAAGTGTCTTTTTAAAATTTCCTGACGTTGAAATAGGATCTAAATCCCTGTGATTTTGCGGCCCACTGCAACGTGACGTAGTAGTGTGGTTTCCCCACCCACCGGATTGATTGAGAGGCGCAATGTTTCTATAATAACATGTACACAGAATTTTTTTTTTTTGGCAAATAAACTGGGATTCAAATATTTGTTACAACTCTCTGTGTTATAAGTTTAAAGAGCCCCTATTATGGGTTTTTAAGAATGACCTTCTATGCAGTGTGTAACACAGCTCTAAGAGAATGAAAACAACCAGCTTTGGTTTAAATCTTTAAATCTGAAAGTGCACCATGTTTAAACCTACAGTATTGATTCTTTAACGAAATAGTCGACTCAGAGTCGAATAAATGAATTGTGTTGGGTTCAGATCTTTTAAACACATCAACATCGATACAATACATAACTAAATATAAAGTACTGGATCTGGTAAAATGTGAACACGAACATGACAATAAATGACAGATGGCGATTTGTCTGCGAGGAAGAAAGGGTTACAGTTCATTTTCACAACAACACCACAGTATAGCCAACCTAGTGCTGTGTTTGTTCCTGTCACTTTTTAGATTTTTGATACAATAACCCACACTGCAATGCGGGAGGAAGGAGAAGCAGAGACTATCATGCATCAACTTTTACAGTCTGTTACATACATTGGACAGTTACAGTTCATGTGGACCAGTTTCTTCTTCCTCCGGGTCATAACATGCAAGTGTAATTAAAATTGTTGCCTCTTTTGTGTAGCAAAATATGTGTTTAATTGTGTGTTGCAACTTGTAATCGTCCCGTGCGGCTTGCAATCCCTTATCTATTACAGATCAATGCTTTTACTATATCTCTCAGGTTAAATCTTTATGGGGCTGTTCACACAGTGCGTCCAAAGCTACATTAAAAACGCAATGCGTGGTTCTTTCTTTACTGATTAAAATGCGTTTCTGAACTCGCGATCCTCTGCTGTTTGTCTTTGCTATGGCAACCATCAGCTGTTCCTCACACACGCAATGCAATCAATTTTCAAAATAGTTTAATAGAGTTAGGTTTAAGAGTAGAGTAATATGCTGATGTTAACTGCTTTGCTTTATTGCATTCCTGCAGTGGACTCTCACATATAGTCTCTGCTACTTCATAGCCGTGGTGGGCATTTCTCTCTGTGTTTGCGCTGAACCCAGTTGACCAATTACAACAGACTGGTTCATCGGACCAATCAGCGCAGATTAGCCTCACGCTAAGGAGGGGTTTGGGAACAAATTAATTGCTGAATGAATCTTATGGGAGTTGTGGGATAATTAGGTAAAAATAAATGCATATTATAAGGCAATGAAAGTATTTTTGACCTTGCATGCATATCTGTTGTTGTAGACTGTTGTTGGAGACCCCCAAAACCAAAATATGACCATTTATAAAGCAAAATAGGGGCTCATTAAATGTTTTTAAATCAGAGCATGTTTAGATTAAAGACAGTAAAACTGCTATGTAATTCTTAACCACTATAATCACCATGACCGCATGGTGTCAGTAAACGCTAATATGTGTGTGTGTACTGCAAACAGCATTTTTGTGGGACTCGTCGTTTCAGAAAGGCTTGAATAAACTCCACCACAAATACATCAAATAAACTTACTTGGTATGTTTGACTAATGAGCTATTTTTCGATTAATCCGAGTCTGTCTCTGTCACTGACTGCTGTTTATCTGATGTAATGCATGATGAGAAGCAGACACATAATGTGGAAGCGGTGGGCGGGGAGAAGCAGCTCATTTGCATTTAAAGCCACAGGCTACATTGTCCTCAGACACCAAAATGGGCAGATTCTGGAAGCTATAATAAATGATCTGATGGGTATTTTGAGCTGAAACTTTACAGACACATTCTGCAGACACGAAAGTCTTATCTTGCATCTTGTAAAAAAGGTAAAATAGGTGCCCTTTAAAAATCAAGGTTTCCTCACTTATTTTGTCAACTAATAATTTTTACAGTGTATTGGGGGTTATTGGTGCTATAAACAATGAAAGCAGGTGTAACAATATTACAGTTTGTTAATACCCTCAACTTTGGGGTTAAATAATCAAGCTTGGCAATGCTAGCAGATGCTAATTTCGAATGGGTTTCCAAACTGAAATCAAAAATAGATTAATATAGTAGCATTGTCTGTTTCTTGCATTATAATTCAGGTAAGTATTGACAAGCTTATTGGCTATCTTTGTAGCCATAAAATAATATTTTGGCACTTATATGGGAGTATTATCTGTGTATACATTTTTTAAAAATCTAATTCATAGGTGTCAAAATCGATTCCTAGAGATTCCTTTGAACACCACGATTATTTGGATCAGCTGTGTTTGATTACAGATGGAGCATAACTGTGCAGAGATGCGGCCCTCCGGGAATTGACTTTAACACCTATGATCTAACTTAATTATCATAACTTTGACGATTATGCAAATATACCTATGTCAAAGCTAACAAGATGTTACAAAACGAGTTGGCTTATGCTATAAAAAATAGATTATAATACTATAAATAGTTACATCCATCAGGTGCATATTTTCGAGATATTCAATAAGCAATATGTAAAAGTTTACATTATATTTGGTAAACCAAGCTTGTTGACTGCCGCATATTCCAATTGTAATGTGAATGTAAACGCTCCACTAACACAAGTAAACAAATTTGCTAAAATTGAGGCAAAAATGGATTTGCATATTGCTTGTTTGTATGCCTGTTTCCATATGTACATGTACTGTATGTCACTGAAACATCTCATTTAGGTGTCATATTAAAGTAACAGCAATTCACAATATTTTAAATGAGAAAAACATAAAACATCTAGCCTCTTTAGAAAAAAACTCAATGATAAAATGGTTGACTTACAAATAAAATAATTTCAGTGACATACACATGCTATAAGCATTTGAGCAAGAAAAGATGAGAGACTGATTCTTTTTAAAATGCAATATAATCCATGTAAAGTTAGTATTATAACTCATACTTGTTAAAGCGAAATTAAAACAGTTCCTGGTGAAGTTACTATGCGAAATATGTGGGCCATTTAAAAAAAAAAAAAAAAAAAAAAGACTAGTCTGTGAATTCCTATTGACTACAAGCTGGACCAGTTCAGATCAGAAGTGTCCAGAAAGTCTGCAGAAAACAAGCTGGAGGGGTTGTGTCCATTAATATGTACCAACCCTGGCACCTCCCCCGCAGAAGCGCCCACTCCAAGCTCCATCCAATCCATAGAATCAGGGGCGGAGTCTACTAAATCGGAAGCAGAATGACTGGAAAAGCTTATGTCATATGTGTCCATTGGACACCGTGGGTGGTCAAGGATACTCGGCGTGCTTAGCATTTGATTGTGGAGGTCTACGATTAGCGTGGTCGGTCCTCCTGGCTCCACTCCCAGTAACGGTTTGCCAGTAGTGCTTTCCAGGAAATCTTCAAGACGTCCAGCACCTGTGGCACAGCTGGTGGGCACCTTGATGGAAGGAGGTCGAGGTTCTGCAATTAAAGTTTTGATGGTGTTTTCAGAGGCAGGAGAGAGATTGAGAGGAGAGAAGCTCAAGGTGAGGGGTGTGTTTGGCCGAAGCCTTTCAAGAACAGGATCAGGAGATGCTTTGAAATTCTCAGAGATTTCTGTGGGAAGAAGGAAACAAGGCGTGAGTGTGAGGTACATCAATTTATTTAGATGACTATATACTGTGAAATAAATAATCAAAAATCACCTCCGCGTTGGATTAGGATGTCAAACAGGTCGTCAACATGCTGTTGGGAGACATTTTCCTGTAACAACATAAACACCTTTAGACAAGGCAGCATAGGATTTCATATAATAATCTCCTCCCTAAAAATCCATGAAGTGATTTGCTACACAGTCGAAACTAATGTTAAAGATCCCATGAAGTGCTTTAAAATGTGCATTTTTTAATTCGATGTTTGATGTCATCTTAACTTAAACCTGAAGAGAAGACTTAACATAGTGTAGCTCCTCCCTTTTTAAAAATAAACAGCCAATAGCATTATGTTTCATCACCGCTCTGCCAGTGAAAATGGTTCAGCTAAAGCAAATGTGAAGCGTTTGAAGGGGGCAGGTCATGTCAGATACTAGAGAGCATTTGATTTGTCACGATTTGATGAGAAACGACCAATAAAAAAAAATTATATCAGTTTTATATCTTTTAAACATGAATTTTGTCACTGTTTTGGAGCTCACTAGCTTATAGATTTGTTAGAAAAACTAACAATACGGATACTAACATCTACATAACTTTATTTTAACTCAATGAGACCTTTAAGCAAGCACCAAGCTAGTCCAAAACATAGATTTGGCACAAATGAAAGGTCAGAAATATTACAATCAGACAAAAAAAAAAAAAAAAAAAATATATATATATATATATATATATATATATATATATATATATATATATAAACAAATAAATAATAAAAACAACAGCAGATGAAAGTGAGATGGAGGGCAAGACAGTACCTCATGACAAAGAGCTATGGGTGAACACAAGGTGGAAGGAGAGAGCAAAGCATGCTGGTCCAAACTCAAACACATCTCCTGACAGACAGATATGGATGTATATTTAAGGATATTTTTTTTGTCTCTCTCATTTTTTACTTATCCACATGCTGTTACATCTTACACATACCCATAAACAATCATTTACTAGACAAAAAAACACCAGCATAGATGATAAAATCGTTTCATATTACTTGTAAGCGATACAGTTATCCTGTGCTGTCACTGTCTACTGTATGTAGTTGTTTAAAACAGTGTTTCCCAACCACATTCCTGGAGGAACAGCAGATCTGCATATTTTTAATGTCTCCTTAACCAAATACACCAGTTTCAGATGATCAGCTCATTAACAGAGACTGAAAGACCTGTAATGGCTGTTACAGACCAAGGAAACATGAAGTGTTGGTGGTCCTCCAGGAACGTGGTTGAGAAACACTGGTTTAAACAACTACATACAGTAGACAGTGAAAGGTTTAGAGCACAATCCGCAAAGACTGCAACAGTTTGTTTCTGTGTGGTAAACAGAAATGTGGTATTAAATGTGTGGTATTTTTACTTCTATTGCAATAGACTCCATGGCGCAAGTTTCAGAATGTCATTGTTTTTCCTATATTGGTCAACAGAGTTAAATGCTACATGTGCAAATGTTTATGTATTAACCACTGAATATTTAAAAAGTTTTGACAGCTTGCAACAAGACTTCAAAAACTAGATCTTTTCTGAACTCTGAGGTTAATACTGTATATGACATAATAATTTTTAGACATTCTTATTTAAACAAGATTACTTGTCCCTAAAAAAATTGTTGGAAATGTAAAACTAAAACTGAGATCCTTGAATGAGTATAATGTAGATAGAGCTACTTTACCATTAGTGTGTCACATAAAAAATGGGATTCATAAAAAAAACTGTAGCCAGATCTAGTATACATTAATTGACAAAGGTCTTGTCGTTGATCCCAGATGTAGGAGCTTGACTTCTAGTTGATCATTTGGAAAAGTGACAGAAAGTAGATTTTTCTGATGAATCATCTGCTGGACTGCATCACAATCATCATAAATACCGGGGACGACCTTTTAGAACCAGCATGGACACAAGATTCTCACAGAAATCAGCCAAGTTAAGTAAAGGGAAAATCGTAGTTTGTGGTTACATTCAGTATAGGGGTGTGTGCATCAAAGATCCTGAAAGCAAAGAAGGTCAAGGTGCTCCAGACCAGAGCAAGTCAGACCTTACGGTCCTAAGTAAATAATTAAAAATCAAGCCATGATCATATCTAATCATTTGGCATTTGCCATTTATAAAAGCCACTTCTGATACTAAATGATCAACTAGAAGTTATTATTTGTTGTTCCTAAAACCTGGATAGGCGACAATAGCTTTGTCAGGTAGTGTATAATCTACTGTCTTAAACATAATTTATTACCAATCATATATAATCTTAATGACTTCATATGTTGACATAATGCTGTCAAACTGTGCAAAAGCAGATGTTTTTTTTACTTTATGTGCAGTTATTTCTAACACAGTACGTGTACATATTATAAACATTTTAATTCACCATTTTAAGTTTTTGCTGTTTGGACTGTATGTTCTGACAGAACTGTGTAATGGAAATAAAGCTGCGTAAAACTTCTACTTCAGTGCTCTATTAAAAAAACATAATGCAGACAAGTTTGGGAGATAAAAGGAGGGTGATAAAACTAAGTTTCATGCTTGAAAGAAATGAATGAAAAAAGGAGGTTGGCGAGAGAAAACAAAAAACAAAAAGAGCATTTTGGGTACAATTAAGCAGCCTTGGTGAACTTGATGATACCAGGCAGACTATCAAAAGAGTTCCCACACATTCACAACTAACGTCTAAAAGATGTTCCCACAAACAAGCTGAGCTCTATTTATATCACAGACCTATAAATCTGTACTCCACTAAGAGAATCTGTGCCGTATAGCAGTCTAGACGCAACTCTGCTGAAACTCCTATTAGAATTCCGGTCTCGTATGACACAGATTTTACTTATCAGAAGAAAAGAGTCTTGCTGGCCCCGAGACAGTCTTTACACAGAGAGTACAGACACAAACATAAGCTCTGCTCCAAAACCCCTTTTTTGTAACTCTTTCCAGCTTTACACAGTCAACAATTCCTAATCCGAGGTGTTCTGAGATCACTTTGGCTCGAGGCGGGCTTGCTCCTTAAGAAAAGCGAACTCAATATTTGTGAGTGTTTTTTTGATTGGATGCCATGTTTGCTGATTCATGACTGCAGTTTGCGTTCTTTGAAGACTTTAGATGCTGCTTTGATTTTTAATTTACATGGTGTGTTGAGCTCAAAAAATAATAAAGTTGACTACTTTTCAGAAGTTTTAGGGACAGTAGGATTTTAGTTTCTCAAATCTATTTTTAATTCACCATTGTTGGGGTTTAATTTTAAATGTACACTCATCGGACACTTTATTAGGTACACCTGATTAGTTTCATGTTGGACCCCCCTTTTGCCTTCAGAACTGCCTTAATGCTTTGTGGCATAGATTCAAATCAAATGAAATCAAATCAAATCAAATCACTTTTATTGTCACATCAACAGCTGCACGTGTGCTATGATGAATGAGAAGCTTAAAGTAGGTGCTGGCTCCAGACAGTACAAAATACAGATAGTCAAATACAATGACAGTGCAAAATACAGACAGTGCAAGTACAACGACAGTGCAAAATACAGAAAGTACAAAATAAAACAGCATACTCCCAAAAAGTAGAACAATGTAAAATTGACAGCGATATGTACAATGAAAATTTGTACATAGTTGTAGGCAGTATTGTTTTAAGTATGGATTGGTTAAAGTGCAGTAAATGCTACATATTGATGGTGTGCAGTGAGGGGTGTGGTAGAGTCTGTGTGGGGTGTGTTAAATGTTCATCAGCCTGATAGTCTGAGGGAAGAAGCTTTCCTTCAGTCGGCTAGTGCAAGATCGGATGTTGTGGAACAGTCTGCTTGAGGGTAGCAGAGAGAACATTCTATGGCTTGGGTGGCTGAAGTCGCTGATAATTCTCTTGGCTTTCCTCATGCACCGCCTGGTGTAGATGTCCTGGAGGAAGGGAAGCTCACCTCCTACTACGCGTCCAGCAGTTCGCACAATCCTATAGAGGCCTATGCGATTGCTGCTGGTGCTTTTTCCATACCAGATGGGGATACAGCCAGACAGGATGCAGTCCACAGTGCAGGTGTAGAATGAGTGGAGGATTTGGGGGCTCATTCCAAACCTTCTGAGACGCCTGAGGAAGAAGAGGCGTTGTTGTGGCTTCCTCAGCACTGCGACTGTGTGAGCCATCCATGTCAAATCCTCAGCGATGTGTACTCCAAGAAACTTGAAAGTGCTGACTCTCTCCACTGGTGTCCTGTTGATGGTGATGGGGTGTGTTCTCTCTTCTCTCTCCTGAAATCCACCACCAACTCCTTGGTTTTGCTGATGTTGAGTGAGATGTGGTTTTGCTGAAACCACTGCGTCAGAGTGTGCACCTCCTCTCTGTAGGCCGTCACATCATTTTTGGTGATTAGGCCCACCACAGTTGTGTCATTAGCAAATTTAACAATGACGTTGGAGCTGTGTTTGGCTGTACAGTCATGTGTGTACAGGGAGTACAGGAGTGGGCTGAGAACACAGCTCGTGGAGCACCAGTGTTGAGGATCAGTGTGGACGAAGTAATGTTGTTCATTCTGACCACCTGGCGCCTGCTTGACAGGAAGTCCAGGATCCAGTTGCACAGAGAGCTGTGTAGACCCAGAGCCTGGAGCTTCACCACCAGCTTGGCAGGCACTATGGTGTTAAATGCTGAGCTGTAGTCTACAAACAGCATTCTCACATATGTGTTTTTGTTTTCCAGGTGAGACAGAGCAGTGTGCAAGGTGAAAACAATTGCATCATCAGTGGAGCGATCATTCCTGTATGCAAATTGCAGAGGGTCAGTGTGAGCAGGCAGTAAGACAGCGGGCAACAAGATACTGAAAATATTCCTCAAAGATTTGAGTCATTATTGACATGATAGCCTCGCGCAGTTGCTGCCGATTATTTGCTGCACATGCATGATGTGAATCTCTCTTCTCACCACAACTCAAAGGTGCTCTATTGGATTGAGCTCTGGTTACTGTGGAGGCCATTTGAGTACAGTGAACTCATTGTCATGTTCAAAAAACCAGTCTGAGATGATTCACGCTTTATGACATGATGCGTTATCCTGCTGGAGGTAGCAATCAGAAGATGGGTACAATGTCGTCACTGGGATGGACATAGCGACAATACTCAGGTAGGCTGTGGCATTGATGCTCAATTGGTACTAATTGGCCCAAAAGTGTGCCAAGAAAATATCCCCCACACCAATACATGACCATCACCAACCTGAACCATTGATACAAGGCAGGATGAATCCATGCTTTCATGTTGTTGAAGCCAAATTCTGACTCTACCATCCGAATGTTGTAGCAGAAATCTAGACTCATCAGACCAGGCAACGTTTTTCCAATCTTCTATTGTCCAATTTTAGTAAGCCTGTGTGAATTGTAGCCTCAGTTTCCTGTTATTAGCTGACAGGAGTGGCACCCGGTGTGCCCTTTTGTTGTTATAGCCCATCCGCCTCAAGGTTGGATGTGTTGTACATTCAGAGATGCTCTTCTGCATACTTCGGTTGTAACGAGTGGTTACTTGAGTTACTGTTGACTTTCTATTAGCTTTAACCAGTCTGGCCATTCTTCTCTGATCTCTTGCATCAACAAGGCATATGTGCCCACAAAACTGCTGCTCATAGGATATTTTCTTTAAACCCCAGAGATGGTTACGTGTGAAAATCCCAGTAGATCAGCAGTTTCTAAAAAACCCAGATCAGCCCATCTGACACCAACAACCATGCCACATTTAAAGTTACTTACTGTAAATCCCCTTTCTTCCCCATTCTGATGCTTGGTTTGAACTGCAGCAGATCGTCTTGACCATGTCTGCATGTCTAAATGCATTGAGTTGCTGCCATGTGATCGGCCAATTAGAAATTTGTATTAACGAGCAGTTGGACAGGTGTACCTAATAAAATGGCCAGTGAGTGTATTTCATTATTATAAAGAAAATCATTGGAGACACTTTAGTTTAGGTCACAATTCAACAAACCATTAGCTAACACTACTAGCTTAATAAACTAATTAGCTGTTTAATAACATTTAGTAAGGTAGAAGTTGGGTTTAGGTTTTGTGTTAAAAATGCACGATATGATCATACTTTATAACCACTAATAAACAGTTAATATCTAAATAATAGGCAAGTAATAAGCCAATACTTAATAGCATGAAGTGTAACCTAAAGTGTTATCAAATCATTTATTATATTAATTTCAACCAAATATCAGTATAAAATAGTATTTATTAAGCTCAATGTGACTAATTATTTGACACAAAGGTTAAATGCAGCAATAAATAACTATTTATATAAAAAAGATTTTAATATGCAATGTATTCCAGTAATACTGCTGAATTTTCTGCATCATTAGTCCATTCCTCAGTGTTACATGATCTTTTTGGAAAATATTATCACTTTATTGGAAATAATAATTGTTTATGTATGGAAAATAATCTTTTTGATGCATAATCATTTGCTAAAAATCAAGAAACATTCCAAAATTTTGTCAACAGCAGACGTTTCTGAATGGCATGGATCTCAAATCAAGGAACTGATTTACTCAAACTGTCCTCTCAATTTCCTTAAAAAGTTGCATAACATTGTATTTATGCTAAGCATTATAATTTATTTAAAACTATATAAACATTGGATGCATCATAGCACCAATGGCAGCTACATGTAGATAAACAGCACGCAAAGTCTTTAGTACGTACACAAACAAACCACTTACAATATTGTTGTTGTTGTTGGGAGATGAAGGGACGACATCACCATCATTCATTGAATCCACTGAACTGAAGAATGATGTTGAGACGAAGGAAGAGCTTGATGCCTTGTAATTGGTCGCCACATTTAGGTCTGGCTTTAGTGCCTGTCAAAGTAAAAACATGCATCTCAATTAGCAGCAGTGTTAATGGGTTAATAGCCCAAGCCTGCGAGCCTTCATTTGAACACCACTAGTGACAGTGATTAGTCATTAACATTTTAATAAGCAGGTTTAAAAGCCTCATAATTGTGTTCAATGACTTGTCAAGAGTAAGTGATGCTGCCTTATACATTTCATTAATCAACACAGAGGAAAGATATCTGCTGAAAAAGTCCTTCCCTATTAGCTTTCATAATTACACTCATAGCTTCAAAAAAACAATGCTAATATTAGCATACTACTCAAATTGAATTGTGTATAGACCATTTTGAGGGATGTAAACAAAAACAATAGTTCCAACATATTTCCTGTTTTACATTTTTAACTTCTATAGGTTTTAAGAATCCAAAAAGAGCCACATATTGATAAATAATGTTCTGATGGCTGTTTTAACATTAAGCTATGATTGATTTGCCTCTTGTTACTGTCATGAAATGTGATAACAAGAAGGACGCTTATTTCATGTTCATTGAAATGGTCTATAGTATGCACAATATCTACATGGACATAACTGCCCTACTAAAGTTTGTTAAAACAAGCACTATATCAACTGAGAACAGTGCAGGATGTACTGTATCCCACAATGCAATGTGCTTTATGACTTGATCATCCCTGACTTCCATCTTTTCCCTTCATTTACATCCAATAAAGTTGTGAATGTATTGTATATTCAATATAATATATGTTAATATTGCATGAATTCTTTTGTTTTTTATATATTCAGTTTTCTTTTTTGGTAGTATTAGCTTTTATTTATGTTTATATGTCTTTTGTCTATTTCAAATGAGGTCATGTGTATTCTGTTTTAAAAATGCATTAATGTTTGTACTAACCTTTTTGATTGGCTGTTTTAAAATGACAGTTTGTATGGGCTCGGGCTGGTTGTTATTATTAAGCAATTCAGCCTCTGATTGGTTGGGTAATGTTGTAGATGTCGACTGCAGTCTCTTGAAAATGGGCAAAAAAACAACTGGAGATTATTTAAATGTTAACTGTATATTTCCTCTGACGACTTTAAGAATCATTACCTGTAGTCTGCTCTGATTGGTTGCTTTGCCCTGAGGGCGCCTGCCTCTGGCTGGGGCCTCTGTGTGCTGATTAGACAGTGTCAGCAGGAACTGGTTGCCGTTGCCGTCGGTCACTATGGTGGGGGTGGAGTTTGGGTTAACTGGGCTGACTGGCACTGAAGAAACAGGACTTGACTGCTGGTTGGTAAGTGCTTGAGGAAACTGCAGGAAAAATGGAAAAGATGGAAATTTAACCAAACGTGATATGTTGTGTGATTTCCCATTATAATAAAAATGAAGCATCTCACTACTGCTGCAGCACACACACAACCCCTGGAGACTGTGATGAAGTGCTGTGGCGTCAGGGGAAATGTTTGGAGAAAAACTAAAGTCTAAAATGTATTTTTCTACTAAAAAGCACTGTAAAAATGGAGTATGAACTTATAACCTTGCATGCATGTATGTTATTTATGTGTATAAAATTAAACATTAATTGAATAATTTATATTATTTATTATATAATAATAAATAAATGAATAAATTTATAATATATTTATAAAAACACTACGTTCTTAATTTAATTGTATTTAATGCTTTAATTCAGTTTTAAATATTTCAGCTTGTGCTTATTATTGTTTAAATCTAAACTTTTTTTAGTACTGTATATGTAAATATTTGATTAAAATTTGTCATATCAATTTAAAGTGTCATCTAATAATAACATTTAATTGTATTTATAGATGTGTTTTATTTCACTGTTTTGCTTTTATTTAACAACATTAACCCTTGTTTAGGCTTTATAAAGAGGGTCCTTTATAAATAAGTTATAACTTTCCATCAATCAGCACTTAAACCAACTCTTTAAACCCCCATCTCTGATCAAATAATGATCACACTATTAATGCCAAGTCTGAATCTGTACATTGTGAAAGCACAGCACTAACTTGTCTCTGCTGCTTCTGTGTTTTCCTCTTCCTCTGATGTGTCTGTTGCAGCAGGTTGCGTTGATTCTGTCGCATTACAATCCTCTGCTGCTGCTCCAGCTCCACCTGCGGCTCCGTCACCATCTCACTGTCTTCCACCACCTCCATCACCTCCTCCTTTACAGTGACTCTAAGAGCCTCAATTACGGCAGCAGGAAGCGCCTCTTTGACTGGATTGGGCTCTTGCACCCGTTTCCCCTCCAGCTGCAGACGCAGGGACTCAACTAGCTGCTGCTTCTGCAAAAGCATGTTGGTGAGCTCCTGAATGCGCCGGTCCTTCTCCAGCAGCATCTGGTCCTTGTCTGCAGAACGAGAAAGCATGCAGGAGGAGGATTGATATGTTTGGCTACAGGGCTCTTCTTTAATGCACACAGTGGTCGGGAGAGGAGGAGACGGCTGCAGGGAGAGCTGGGTGAGAGGAGAGCTCACCTAAAACACACACAAAAAGGAAACATATTAATAATGTGAGGTCCAAACCATACGGATCCAAACTGTCAAATCAAATCAAACTGTTCAGCAGACAAAGTATTGAAAAGTGCATTAAGTATATAGTTTATATACATGCTGTACATATAACAAGATGATGGACGCTGAATCAACATTTCTGTTTATACTTTTACATTTTATTCTGGAAATTAAAGATTGTTACATGAAGTATATGTATCTTTTTGACTAATTTAATAATGTGCACCCTTTGTAAAGCTGCTTTGGAACAATAATTAGTGTGAAAAGTGTTATACAAGTAAACTTGAATTGAATTGAATGTGTTTTTATATGAATATGGATAAGATGTAAATATTTGAACGCTATGAATTATTTAAATATGTTAATATGAGTAGTGTGATGTTTCTGTCATTCTTAAGCTGCGGTCACACTCGGGTCTGAGCATGCAAAATTGTGTAGTACGGCGCTGTGAAAAGGGGTGGGATTAAACAAGATGATTAGACATTTAAAAAAGTAAACTTCGCATTGCATCGAACTGCGAAACTTGGTCTGATGCATTCGCGTGCATATGGATGGAAGTGTATGGGGAGAAAAGTCCAGTGTGACCGCAGCAAAAAATAATTTTTTTTTTTTGCTGTTCGTTCAAACCACATATTCAAAATGAGCTTAACTAACACCATTCTTTAGGTTTTTTTATGTTTTATGCTTTATGTTAAATCTACTTAAATTTGTGAAAACAATTTAGATAACTTAATTAATTTGTGTAGGGACACCATGAAGGAATTGTGTGAAACCCAAATTGTAAACAGTCTATTTTGAAATATTTAAGTTACAATTAATTCAATGTAATACATTTACTATTATCACTAGTAGTTGAACAATTATTATCACTTACATAATCAACAGATTTACATTAAATTGAACAAAGACATTTGCTTTCATTGTGCTCTTGCTAAAGTCCAGCTTTATTAATATTATTTTATTTTAAATGTTATATATAGCTGTTGTTGTTGTTGTTGTTGTTATTATTATTATTATTATGTTACCAGCATATTTTTGGTAAAACTCATGACGGTCTGTTTTCCATTTACTGCTAAAGAATATTTGAATTATCATTTGTTAATAAGGGCGTCACAGTGGCGCAGTGGGTAGCTTGATCGCCTTACAGCAAGAAGGTTGCTGGTTCAAGCCTTGACTTGGTCAGTTGCCATTTTTGTGTGGAGTTTGCATGTTCTCATGGGTTGCCTCCGGGTGCTCCGGTTTCCCCCATAAGTCCAAAGACATGTGGTATAGGTGAATTGGGTAAGCTAAATTGTACGTAGTGTATGTGTTTGAATGAGAGTGTATGAGTGTTTCCCAGTGATGAGTTGCAGCTGGAAGGGCATCCTCTGCGTAAAACATATGCTGGATAAGTTTGCAGTTCATTTCGCTGTGGCGACCCCTGATAAAAGGGACTAAGTCGAAAAGAAAATGAATGAATGAATGAATTTGTTAAAAAAACTACTTACATTTTTATCATAAAATCATTATATTAATTACAATTACAATTATAAAATTGTCTTGTATTGTTTACAAAGTTTTATTTTTTACTTAAATTTTTTAATTATATTATGTGTGATTGTATTTATGGTCATTTCTTTTTAAAATGGTAGCTTTTGTATTTAATACTATACATTGGCACCTGAAGGTCTGAGAGTAACTTTTGTCATGCACATGTGGTTGAACTGACAATAAAGCTGACTTTGACCAATATAAGCATCACTCGTCATTATATTATAAAATATTAGAAAGAAGATTGTTTTCGTTTGACTGCTGTAGAAGTCTATCCTAAATATTGTTCTGAGATAAATTACTTAAATAACTAATAACTACACAGACAGACAGACAGACAGACAGATAGACAAATAGATAGACAGATAGATAGATAGACAGACAGACAGACAGACAGACAGACAGACAGACAGACAGACAGACAGACAGACAGACAGACAGACAGACAGACAGACAGACAGACAGACAGACAGACAGACAGACAGACAGACAGACAGATAGATAGATAGATAGATAGATAGATAGATAGATAGATAGATAGATAGATAGATAGATAGATAGATAGATAGATAGATAAAAAGCATAATCATTTATTTATTTATTTATTTATTTGCTTGTTTGTTTGTTTGTTCGTTTGTTTTTTTTTGCAGTTGATGAGGTGTAGCCTTCAGTTGACATCAGACTGGTTATTAGTGAATGAACATTCAGAGGCATCATGCAGCTTTGACACTTTAAATGCAGACACTAGACAGCCCTCAGCTATTGTGCTGCAATGCTTCACTGCTCACAGCCAGTGCAGACAAAGGCTAAGGTTTTCTGTAAAGGCCACTTTTTGCACATTAAGTAACATTTCACAATCATCGGTCCAAAACTGACCCAATTTAGTAAGTCTAAAGAATAGATAAGTGGACAATTACCATTTCCCCGAAAGCATCTGCATGACAGCTCGCCTCATCTGGACTCATTCCAGTGGATGAACGCTCGGAGTGGGCAGGGGAAACCGGAGGGGAGGAGCTAGTGCTGCCAAACTGCATCATCATTGGCGCTGTTGTCAGAGTTCCCCCTCCTTCTGCAGTGGCACCGAACTGGAAGGAAGCAACCATCAGGTTCCTGTCTGTTGATTGGTGTGTGGAAGAGGCTCCTCCCCCTAGGGCTGAGGGTGTGTTGGTTTTAGGTGTTGGCGGGCTGGTCCCACCGTTCTGCTCCTGAAAATTCCTCAGCCGCTCAATAAGGTCATTCTTTGTGCCCGAGACTGTCAAGCCTCGCAGTTTCAACTCCTGCTTCAGCTCTGCCACCTGCAGGAAATGCAGAGAACAGCAGGAGTTGTTTGATTTAATGCTATATAAGTAGCTACACAGTAAGAAGTACTGAAATTAATATTACCTTTAGCTCCTCCAGGTTGGGAGGCAGTGGGCTTATGTTAACTCTGCCTACATTTATAGTGGACTGTTGGTTCTGACTAGTCAGATTAGTGGATGTTGATTGAGGGGGAGTGTCATTCTTGGACTGTGACTGGCCATTGGCTAAAGCAGGCTGCTGATCAGCTGGAGGCCTAAATAAAGTATAAGAATAATGTGTTATATTATTTAAAAAAATTAATAAATTATGGTCTCTCCTACAAGCAATTCTAAATAATTATACTTTTTTTTCATTGTCCTTCAAATTATTAGGTTTTGCTTATATCTACAAAATGGCTTGATAAAAATAAGAAAAAATACCATGCTAAAAAAGGATAATAAAATATTAACTAAACTTAGTATGACCACATACAGTTGAAGAAGTCAATTGAATTATTAGCCCCCCCTGTTTATCTTTTCCCTCAATTTCTGTTTAACGGAGATCTTTTTTCAAGACTTTTCTAAACATAATAGTTTCAATAACTCATCTCTAATAACTGATTTATTTTATCTTTGCTATGATGACAATAAATAATATTTTACTAGATCTTTTTCAAGACACTTCTATACGGATTAATGAATAGAAGGTTACAGGTTATTAAGGTTAACTGGGCAGGTTAGGGTAATTAGGCAATTTATTGTATAATAATGGATTGTTCTGTAGACAGTTGAAAAAAATATAGCTTAAAGGGGCTAATAATATTGACCTTAAAATGTTTTTTTTTTTAAAATTCAAAACAGTTTTTATTCTAGCTGAAATAAACAAATAAGACTTTTATCAAAAGAAAAAATACTATCAGACATACTGTGAAAATTTCCTTGCTCTGTTAAACATCATTTGAGAAATATTTTAAAAAGAAAAAAAAATCAAAAGGTGGTTGATAATTCTGACTTCAACTGTACACTTTCAGATAAGTATAGGACAAAATAATTGCAATTTTTACAAACATTAATGAAAATACATTCCATTTTTATAATCAATTACTTGATCAACACATTAAAAAATCTATTTAAATAAATCATTATTGATAAAAAGTATTCATATAATTATTAATAGCAGCACCAGCACTATGAATTTTTATTAAAAATGAAGGACATAATTCACATTTTACTCTTTCCTTGACATCAGATTGGTTTGTAATAAGTGAACATTCGGAGGTGACGTGTTTTTAATAATTTAAAATAAAATTAAATGTAAAGTAGCATGATAGCTTATAATATTATATAGTTTAACAAACACAGGTCAAAATATTTTGACAAATTTTGACAAATATATGTGGAGTGCTCGGTGATGATGGCACATTATTTAATCTAATCTTACTGGTTTTAATTATGCTAGTTATTTGAAACATAAAAATTTAATATTTTACTTCAATTTGCTTTTCGTTTTACATAAAATTCCATTAAGATACCAAAATGGGCTTTATTTTTGCACATACAGGTAGAGTAAGATTTTTTAGCCCCCCTGTATATTTTTCCCCAATTTCTGTTATTTTTTTTCAACACGTATAAACATTATAATTTGAATAAATAATTTCTTTTATCTTTGTAGTGCTGATAATACATAATATTTTAATAGATATTTTCCAAGATACTAGCCTTTAGCTTAAAGCGACATTTAAAGGCTTAACTAGGTTAATTAGGTTAACTAGGTAAGTTAGGGTAATTAGAATAAGTTATTGTATAATGATGGTTTGTTCTGTAGAGAATTAAAAAAAATACAGCTTAAGGGGGCTAAAAATATTGACCTTATAATGTTTATAAGCAATTGAAAACTGCTCTTATTCTAGCCAAAAAAAAAAAAGACTTTCTCCAAAAGAAAAAAAAACTGTGAAAATATCCTTGTTCTGTTAAACATAATTTGGGAAATATTTAAAAAAGAAAAGAAAAAAAAACAACAACAGGGTTAGTAATTTTGACTTCAATTGTATATAATAAACATTCCACAAATACAGGACATTTCTCACTTGGGTGGAGCTGGCAGGATGGTGTGGTAGTTGTAGTTTTGCTGCTGTTGGTTGATAATCTGTAGCTGGAGGAAGAGCTGCTGTTGGTAGAGGAGTTTAGCGTAGGACGAGTCGAGCAGAGGCGGAGGCTCACGCTCAGCTTTCTGATCCGGAGGAACATACTGGTGATATTTCAGCTTCTTGACTTTAGGTTTATTGTCTCTCACTTTCTTAGAGCGCTGAGCAGGACGCTCACTACTCACTTTACCACTCTGAAAAAGACAGAAAGAGTTCAAGCATTAAAATAATGGTCATTCTGGTTAAAAATAAAATAAACAAAAATTATATATACAGTGCTCAACATAAATAATATTTGTATCCATTTCTCAGTGAATATAGGTAATATATTTTGTTGAATTTGCATAAAACAGATTTCTTAAACATACATAATTATTAAAAAAAAAAAATTCTCACTGAAAATCTTTAGAAATAGAAAATAACACATTTAAATTTATGCAAAAAATTGACAATTTTATTTTTTATTTTTGTTTCTCTTCAATTTTGCTCCTTTTAAAAAAATCCTTTTTTATTATCTTTCCCCTATTTATTATTGCTCCCTGAATATGCAAAAATATAATTTTGTATAGCTGCCTTTAGAAAATATTTATTTAAATTGAATATGAATATTCAACTTGAAAGGGTGAGATTTAACCATGCAAATTAATTTAATTTACATGATACTAATTAATATACAAATGTGTTAATTTACAATTACAGCTGATTTATGGCAAGCGTTTGCTTGTGAACTACTATACAAAATA